GAAAAAAGGTCGCTATTTGGGCGTTGTAAATAGTAGTGTTTTTGACGCGTACACTTTTGTAAAAATGTTCCTTATTTTCATATTGAGATCAAAACTGTTCGGACGCTCTGCGATTCTTGTTTTCCCCGACATTGAGGACGTTATTTTACACCTTGTTGACATTGTATGACATAGGAAATGAAACTATTTTTCCGGATTTAAATCGCGTATATTTGTTTTTTCAAACAAACCGACGTTTCGGGCCCTTTACAGGTCCCATGGCCACGGTTGACATATGTATGTGTAACAATCGCGAAAACCTAGGAACTCGATATTGTATGACATCTTAGAATAGATATAATTTACCTCCATCTTTAATTTTGTACCCCGTGAGTTTTCGTACGAAAAAGAATTCTCTTATAGATTGGTTGTAAGGCCATTTTAACAGATAGATAATTATTATTTTCGTAATTTATAGTAATTCCATTCCATTCCATTTATAATTGACAAATAATCCAATATTTATACATAAATATTACCAATAAATTCCTCAAGCTGTAAAATAACTATGCCTCACGCGGGCACCCCGCCGTGTGGTCGATTGGTTGTATAATTTTCAACCGCTAAATGCTTCTTGACAAATAGCACATCTTGGGGTTCTGAGTATATTCCACGCATATTTTCAATTTGTTTCCATACCTGTAATGCTGTGAAGTACCAGGCTGCCATAAGTTACTTGACAATGGAATTCTAACAATTCAAGTATGTATGCAGTTTTAAATCTAATACGATTTGTGTTATTTATTAGCAATACCTCTTGGCTAACGATGAAGATAGCTTAATTTAGTAGCAATAGAGGTCCTTGTGAAAGAGTACGTCCGGGAAAGTGTTGCCGTCTTACCTATTTCTGCCGCCAAACAGTAATGTTAGCTTTACCGCGTTCCGGTTTTGAAAGGTACGGGTGCTGGTGAAATTACACGCATATGGAACTTGTCAACTTATGTCTCAAGGTGACGGTCTTACAACAAACATACGATACGTTATGATATTGTAGAAAGAACGTGCTAATTCGTTACACGATAGAATGCACTTTATCCGAACATATGTATAAAATTCTGAAAGACTAAAACGAATAATTTTAGAACAAAATATTTTTTATCTTTGTAACCATTGACTTACAAATAAATAGACGGGTGTAGTACAAAAACCAAGAAAAAAATGTCCCAAGTCAACCTATTTAAACGTAGTGACATGTAAAGGAATATGAAAAAGCTAAAACGTTGAATTTAAATTGTAATGTCATCGCAGTACTGTCTAATTTTGCTTGCTTCGCTGACAGTCGAACAAACGAAGACTAGAGCGTGAATGACGCTCTGTATACGATTTTAACGCCCTATAAGTTCGGACTTTTTAGCGCGGACCCGACGTCCATATAATTGTAAGTCAATGTTTGTAACATTTTTTTAAATCTATTTATTTAGCGGCTTTGATAGTTGAACATGTCAGCCCCATTAGTAAAACAATACCTCAAGAAATCACTTAATAAAATCTAGACAGATAAATCAAAATACTAACTAATCTTTATTTGAATACAAAATCTCCGCGGCGCTACATGTTGGCTCCGTTAAAACAGATTGACATCACCCAACATTAAATGTACGGAAACCTGTCTATAATTTCTATTTTTCCTCCTTTATGCTAAATTCTGGTTTTCAACTGACGTCCTATGGTTATTATGCTCACATTTATTTAACGACACGCCACGCCGTGTATTAACCCGTCAGTCGCCACCGGGCGCTTGTCGACCTCGGATCTGTGTCAAGACTGAGGAATGACACGTCACTACCTAAATTCTAGGCTCGCGTTGAAATATTTGTGGCATTTCAATTGCTATGGACAGATGTGCCGCTTATTACAAGGCGCACGACTTGTTTGTCCCGTCATTTGATGTCTTATAAAAAAGAAGGAGACTTCGTGAAACCTACACGTGTAGATTTAAAACCCTTGGAAAATGTGTTAAATCGTTAACACGCGTTTCGTCAAAGTGGCCGACTGTGGCCTAATTTAGACAAGACCCGTATCCGATAGTGGGATATATCACTGCAACTTTGAATTAGACATATTCTTTATTTGTGGTTTAGTTCATGAGCAGTCATAGCGTAGTTTAGAAAACATTTGCCATTCTTGTGGGTTACATTCCTGGAAGAGCTGGTACAGGTAGATTTTGGAATTATGAGCAAGACAATCTTCATGAAACTTGGGTGTCCTAGGTTCGTAAAGCTACTCGATCATCCTTAGTGCAGTAGTAAGGTGGTGGACATTCTGTTATTATATGATATCAAATGACGGAACCAACAAGCCGTGCGCCTGATGGTAAGCGCACGTCACCCTGAGACTGTTGACAAGTCCCATGTGCCTGTAATCTTTCTTATCCTTCAATACCGGAACAGTAATTCCGACATTACTTGGCGGCAGATATAAGTAAGGTGACGAACTCTATTTAGGATACAGACATATGCTCAGTAGAGGAATTTATATTTTGTTTAGTTGTCGTTACATATCAAATTATACATTTTCAATTTTCTAATTGCTTAACGAGATATGGAGTACTACGATCGCATAGCCGTTAGAAGTTGTTTTTTGATTCCATACGCCGTCAAGCAAGAGGCGTCTTTTCCGTGTAGCCCTTTATTCCAAGGCGGCGATTCTCAAAGGCAGGAACTTGATATTGTCATGTTACATGATATGCGTTAGATATTCCGCATTCTGTCGTAACCTCATAGTTTATCGTGTCCTGATACTTTAGAATTTGAATTTACTAATAATGTACAAAATAAATTCCTACCTTACGAATAACATATTGAATTTCTGCACCAAAATAAAGTCTATATTGAAAAAAATCTCCTAATAAACGCACGTAACAAAATCATTTTTCCTCACGTACTTACATTTCCCCCGAATTCGCAAGAAATAATATTGAATAACGCGACAAATCCCGCGCGCGGGAATAAGCCGTTGGGATCCAGCGGGATACGACGGGATCCATCGGATCACATTGGCGTACAACGTGCATTGGGCAAAAATAATTATAACTCGCGTTAATCCCGGAAACGCTAAGGGAATAATGTATTTTTTGTTTTTGTGTCGTCGAGAAAGTTTTCTACGAAATAAACAGCAATTTGCTCTGTAACTGGTAAACGTGTCCACTTAAGTCAATGCTATTAAGGTATACGGACAATGTTGCGCTTATTTTGACTTATTTTGGCAAAGGTTTTACAGTTATGTGTATCAGAGACAACGATTTTAAATTCAGACCACTAACGTCATCAGCGTACAGTGCAAACAATTTAAAATTCCGCCCGTTCTCGGCGCTGTTACCAATATTGCTGCACTACTGAATTTAAATTCACCCATGCAGTTTCAACCGCCCGCAAACCGCCACACAGCCTTTTTGGCCACACTAAGCGTATCCGAATTAATTCAAACGCGATGCAATTCTATCATATCTGTGTACGAGCACAACAATAACCGAAACTCAACGTTCCATTTCCAAATTTGGAATCTTCGTTTTCAGTACTTGGTCAACAGAACACGATTTCATTTGTTTCGAACCAGGTCCGATTTGAAGCGGTGACCGACCAATCAGCGGTGATTCTGAATTCAAACGGTGGCTCGCAGGTGGCACGCTGTCACCACGCGGCGTTCCATTTCCCGCAGCGCGTAATCGAATGAATATTACAAACGTCATCCTGACAGCTATGCAGTTTCAAGCACGATATGTGGGTCGAAATGCTCTTTTTCCGCCAATTTAATGCATTGTCTATTGTATATCCGACCGCATTTTGACCGGATTCAAATCGGATTACAAGAACCAAACATTTCACAGTACACGTAAAATTCAACAAAGCAAAATGCGATTCGGTTTAAAAATGAATTAGGTTAGCGAGTTAACATTGACGCGTCCCGTACACCGAAACTGTTTTACAGGGAGCTCGTAATGAAAGCACTTAGCGCTAAGCGAAGCAATTATAAGTAATTTGGAGAGCGGTAATGGGCGCGGACAGCGATGCGCAAAAACGCGCAAAACGGAACGCGCTAAAAGCTCACTAATTCGATTGTCGACTTTTTAAACTTCGAACTCTCACATCTGGCCGGAAATAAATCGCGTACCTAGATTCTAGACGTTTGAATTCCGAATTTAAGATTAAACAAGGAAACGATCGTAACATATTTCGAGGAAACTTTATGTAATTAAAACTCACAGTTCCAATTCCACGAAAATTCGCGGAATTCATAGCCATAAAGAAAGTAGGATTCGGCTCGTCTCGGCGAATGAAACAGAAATACCGGGCTCAAGAGGAGACTTTGCGAGCGTCACCTGAAGCGCGCTGAGCGAAGCTTCTTCGGCCCTGGTGATTTATGGGCACGGATCCGGACCGGTAATGAAATTGCACCCCTCCCCGCGCCCGAACCCATTCTAGAAATTACTACGCAACAGAATCGTGCAACTGTCGCACAGCGTTGAGATCCTGGTACTTTTCCATCTTCCATTCAATGCTTTTTTCATTAGTTGGGTTTCTTTAATTAATTACGTTTGTTCTTTATGCAAAACGCGTTTATGTACAGAAATATAACGTTAAAAACCTTTGTCTACTACACTTACACAGATAAATTTATTGTCACCGGAAAATTTAATTATTGACAATGTCATAACCTCTTGTTTTGAATAGAGGTAAAAGCTGTACAATAACAATACAAAAACATAAATGACGCTTTGTTAGCTGGCAATTTTAACGATATTTTTAATGCGTGTTGCAAAATTAGAAATAGAAAACAAAAGCCTTTCTAAAAACCGTTACAGGTTGAACTTGACGGATTTTCAGAGACAAATTTTGAATTTTATTGGTAAACGTGGTTTTTCCGTTCTTAAAATAAATATTTGGTTGATAGCAAAATGCAGAATATTATAGCACTTTTAAAATAAAATATGGAGAAGGGGTTACAGTTAACATGTAACTTACCGTTAAATGTTGAAATAACCACGCCCGCAGTATATTTGTGGCTACTTTGGGGAAGATACCGCGTTTCTTCTGGTTCTTCTTGCCATTCGTGTCATCGTCCTCCTCGCCCGTACCTTCGCCTGAACCGATACTCGCATTGCTTGCATCGCCTGGTGACAAATAGGCAAATTGTTACTTATGATCAAAATTGCCAGATGGTTACATTTTTTACATTTCTCGTGTTTTTCGTGGGCCTCATGGTAAGCTATACGCCTGTCCATAACAGTTGCAGTGCCACTCAGAGCTTGAGTTGACAGGTCCCATGTGCCTATAATTTCACCAGCACCCTTGCCATTCCGAACCGGAACGCAGTGATGCTGACATTACTGCTTGGCGGCAGAAATAGTTAAGGTGGCAGTACTTCCCTGGATGTACATTTTTCACAAGGAGCTCTACTGCTACTTACAATATGTAAGTAACTTAACAATACGTAAGTAATATGTAAGAAACTTTTGTTTTTAAGGCAATTTCTCGTAACTTTTGTGGACGTTGTGATTTTTTACATTTAAATAACAAATTTGTTGTAAATACTAAATAGTATACGAACGCTCCCAAATTGGACAAAAAAGTAACTCGGAGATGGCACAAAGAAATTGAAATTAATCATTATTTTGATTTTAAATTCGGAGCTTAATCGTGTATAAAAACATATTTTGTTACGTCCATAGTCTCGAATGGGAAAAATTTTACTTTCCAGCTAAAAAAATGTAATTATCGACTCAAGGGCCCTGGCAATACTGCTTATGATAATCTGTGACACCACAGATACCCGTATTCGAAGAGGATTTATAAGCAGTTCATTCAGCCTTTGCTATTTACGTTTGGTTTCTTGTTTTGTCGTTAAGCAAGAAATATAAATTTCAAAATTATATCGCAGCATCTTGGGCAGTGGACTGTCTGTGCTGCCCTCCTTGTCTTAACTAAAACAACCTTCAAAACTTCAAACTGGAATATGTTTAATTCCAGACTTTTCAGAGTAATGTACCCGAACCATATTTGTTCAGCAATATAAACTCTTATATTTTCACATATTTTTTATAAAGAAACGCATACAAATTATGTAAACAAAAATTTATATGGGAGTTCGCCAATGTTCTTTCTTGGTCAGATGTCGTACTTGTGTCAGCGTGAGTATGTGAATCTTGTCAGGTTTTCCGTGATATCACAGGAAAACGGGTTCGAAGATCACCATTAACTTAAAATAATTGCAACAATGTCTTAGCCGGTGTACCAGGTGAACAGAAAACGCGAGACGTCTCTAACGCTTATCAAGTACTTCTAGCATATTAATTCGCGACGCCAGCCGACGACGCCAAGTCCGTATTTACTTAATCACCTGCCACACAACTGATCGCAATCTGTATGTACTACGCTTAATTAATTCTTACCGCGTTTCGTTATGACTACATTAATGTTTAAGACAGGTATATGGAGATTTTAAGAGCAGATAAGCCGTTTTCTTGGTGTAAAGAAAGGTTATGTATTTACGTTTGATTAACGTGGCTCAAAATTTTATTCGTTTAACAATTTTAAAGGATGCAACCCTTACTAGTAAAGAAAAAATAATCATGATAAAACTTGCGCGTCGAAGCCACCAAACTCACATTGGACCAGACTAAAAATATTAGAGAAAACCCGTGCCTTGCAGTGGGATGTATAAATGTGTTTACGAGGATATTTTGTTTAAAATTTCGGCCGTAGAGAAGAGGGACATGTGTGAAGTATATTACATTGATGGTTATCGGAAAACTCCGATACTAACTCTACAAGTATCTAACAGTACCAGCCAAGCAGAAGTGAGCAACAACGTACACGATAAACAAATTAGTGTGCAGTGAGCCGCATCAAATATTCATCGCAACAGGAACAAATCGAATCAGTACGGGGCGTGCCGTCTTCTGTTCGCCTCTGAACGCCTGGTACTCTATGTACGCCGTTAATAATAAAAAACCGAATTTGCTACGTTCGCTTATTGTTTATTTTCTTTTCTTTGTTTTCTTTTACCGTTTTTGGGGCCGAGAGAAACATTTCCGATTTACTTTGGCGTAATTTTACCAAACTTCCGAATGAGTCTGTAACGCCCTAAAAGTATGTTTGAAAAATAGTGTTGCGCTTATCGCAATATAGATAGAAAAAATTTACATCACAAAATGGCTGAAGTTATCGTGGAAAACTGTGACACTGATGAAACGCAACGCATTGTCGGATCGAGTGTTACCAGCAGCATTGTGATGGTAATAGGGGCAAAGTAATAAAATTACTTTTAGGCCATTACGCTCCCCTGCGACGTACAGGGTGTAGACAATAAAACGGTTACAATTCGACAAAAAACAACGGATTATTGTCTGTGTAATTGTTTTATTCGCGTATTCAGATTTATTTCGGTTTTTCGCGCAAGCGTGACTGGTTTGTGGCGTAGAAGAGATTTGCTTTCTTTACTTCCTGTCAACGACATTGATATTCTTCTTTAAAATTATATATCACCAAAATAATATTTATTGGTAACGTCATAAAATGTAGTTTCATTACGAGTTTTCTACGAAAAGAAATGTACTTTTCGCAGAAAATTCTGTTAAAACAGCTAAACTTGCACAATTAACAATATATACACATCATCCCATATAAGTTCAGCGTGCAAAATCAGAGTGCAGTAGCATCCCCTAATTCATGTAGGGTGCAGTTGAAGGGTGGCCCTGCTACTGCGGAGCCTCGTGCCGTGCGAAAAGTCAAGAGATATCTCGAATTAACTTAATTAGACTCGGGTTACAGCTACTGCATGAGAAGATGGTGACAATTTTGAGTTCTTTTAAGAACTTGGATCGATTATTTTGATTTTGTTACATGTCTAGCGATCGTATTTTGCTAACCGGTTCTGGGTTCAGCAACAACAATTTAGCAGTCAAAGGTGCACGACGAATTTGGAACAGAGGTCATTGTTTAATATCTTCGTACCAAAAGTTACGCCAAAATCATCTTTACCAATCATACCTTGAATATGAGAATAACGCCGACATCTTTAAGTTGATAAAACTAGTAGATACATACATACTTGAACACCATGTTTGAAAGAACACGTATACGGTAAAACTTAGACCAAACCAGCATTTCAAATACGAATTTCGTAAAAAAGGTACAAGAAAATATATCCATCGACCAATTTTAGACAATCCACCGCACCCAAACAAGAAGCTTTCTCATAAATGGTATACCAAACGCTGCCAATTTCAAACAAAACTCTATACCCGATACCCCAAATACCCTAGCAATAAGTTGGCGTTCATTAGGGGTAATCCATGGTGTTTGCTCCCATGGCTCATAAGCGGATTGCGCAACCCGACACCGAATCCGCGACCCCTGTGTGTGGGCACGCGCCACCGAACTATAGGGGCTATTGTGCCATGTGGGAAGCAACAATAGCGATGCGTGTTACAGTCCTAGTGAATACAATTTGCTTGTAAAGCTTGCTTCTTGCCTTTGTCCGATTTTGCTGTGCGGTTTCCGATTGTGGATCGGAGTGTAATTTTGTGGATGTAGGAGATAAGTCACGCACATGAGCAGCAGAGTCTATTGACCTAAGAGGAAACCTGATGAGTGGGATGTATAACGTAGTTGTAGGATGATGTCACCCCGCCAACACAGCTTATTACTGGCTTTAGCGCTATACGGAATTGAGAAACCTGTTTACGCTACAGAGAAGTGCGTTTGATATAATTTTTTTGCACGTTTTTTAATCATCAAATCAAATGCCATTCATATATATGTATATAGCATATCTTGAAAAATTTATTAACTACTGTTGTAATAATAATAATCAAGAGTGTCATGGACGCACACATAAACAACCACAAGAAATAAGTGTAGTCATACAAATATTTCTCCCGGCCCGAGAATCGAACCCGGGAACTATGCGTGGTAGATCAGCATGATAACCATTCGGGTACGGTGGCAGTTATTTGGATATTAGAAGTTAGAAGCAGCAATACTTGCTTTTAAAGTCACACATTGATGACTTCATACAAGCTGCATATTAACGATTGTTCGGTTAAAGCAAATGGTTTTTCTACTTCTGACTTTATGTATGCCTAGTCGTAGTTTTGCATAAAAAATTATATAAGTGAGTGTCACTTCTAAGCACGGGTGTCACTTCTAAGCACGGGTCGTTTCTAAAGACAGGGCTTATGCTGTTGTGTAATACGAGCAGAGTTCGTCCAGGGAAGTATTGCTACCATTTCTATTTACTTATTAGTTTTGAACGACAAAGGCATAGTAGAATAAAACAAGCAGGGTAACTCCGTACAAAATAACAGCGCGGCTTGTAAGTGTGTGCAACCACCGCGCGCCGTGTACGGACGCACACATTCGCATAATTATGTTATATTATGTAGTTATAGCCGAAGAAGCCGTGGTAGCCTATTGGTTTGACCTACTGCCTCTCAAGCAGAGGGTTGTGGGTTCGAATACGGGCTCGCACCTCTCGAGTTTCTCGGAATTTATGTGCGAAATTAAATTATGAAATTTATCATGAGCTTTTCGGTGAAGGAATACAACAACAACAAGAGTTGTGAACGTTCTTTCCGCTTCTATCTTTCATTACGATGTTTTTCTTTACGAGCTGGAGGTAGGTACTAAACACATTCACAAAAAATACAACAATTTACCTTTTTATTTACTCAGGTTACTTTTCTCTTCCTAATTTCGGTGGCAATTTTATTTTTTTTAATTTAAATCTTCTAGAATATTCTCATAAAGTACTAATTGATATTCGAGTGTAGTATTCAGAAATATTATTTAATATTTCACGGTAAAATACTCGAATACTAAATAACAAAAATTGCCAGGGAATTTAGGTAGAAAAACTACCCTGAAAATTACCCTATACTATTTAAATATATAAAACAACTTATTTACTTATAAAATTTATTGTATAGTGTCCAAATTTTTAAATGACCAATGCCGAAGTTAAGTGTATAATTTTTGACAGTTATAGGTATATTAATTCTAACGTTATTGAAATGATTATTTTGAAATCTAGATACATTTTACAGTTATTATCATTGAAATGGACCAAAAAAACTAGTACTGTAAGCACGTAATATTAAAAAAACAGTTA